GGCCGCCAGGCGTGAGGGTCAAGCGGGGAGCCGTCCACCTGGGTAGCCGCATTTCCAGGCGCAGCCCTGTGGGAAGTCTTCCTGGAAAGGACGGTAAAGCGGAGAAAAGCGGTGGTAGTAAACCCTCGGGCAAATCCTCCCTCTCCACCGCCGCGTTGTCAAAGAGTCCCGCGGCCAAGGCTGCCAAAAGCACCGGAGGACGGAGGAAGGTGTCGGACGCCAGCACAGGATCCGACGATTTGTCCAAGGATTCTGGCTGCGCCGCCGGGAAGCTTTCCCCGACCGACAGCAGCTCCGAGCTGTCGGACTGCGCCTCTGAGGAAAACAAGTTCTCCACGGACGCCATGAGCAGCGACAACGAGTCGAGGAGCAGCCGAGGCGGCGGGGCGGACGGAGACAAACAGCCCAGGGATGGTGGTTCGGCGGACAGAGCTAGACAACAAGACGCCACCAAGGCCACCTGCTCTTCCGCGGACAAGGATCGGCTCTCCGTAGGTGTGGAGACCGGGGAGGGGAGCACATCACCCGGCGATGAGCGCTCAATCACCTCATTTGACAGCAGGGTGCCAGCCAGCACATCCCTGGCTTTCTCAGACCTCACAGAGGAGTTTATGGACGGCATGCATGAGGAGTTCGTCAGGGAAATAGAAGAGCTGAGATCTGAGAATGATTACCTCAAAGTAAGCCCAATATATTTATTAAGTGTCAACTAACTACTACATTTGATGAGAGTTGCTTACCAGTGTTCATCAACTTAGGTCTACTTAGACCAGCAATGTCGCATCAGACTTCACAGGAAGGATTTGTAATGACAACATAAACATATGTCTCCCCAGCATGTAGATTCCTTTGAATTAGCCATCACAGGCTACTCACAACAAGGATGGTGATATTATGAATAGACCTGCACCCTCAGTAGCACATGAGCAAAACTTGTAGCCTTGTAGACACAGAATGGCATGCTTCATTTGGAATATCAATATGATGTAGACAAAGTGTGAAATGTTGTAAATATCTGGATATAGCACACTTTTGATAGTTGGTCGTAGTATTTTGTACAGATATTAGTGCAATAACAATTTTTTAAACATGAAATTATGAAAACGGTGTATTCAGAAAATCTGACTATTGGCAACATTAGTACCAAATGTCTGTTGTTCTCTCAAACTGACAAACACCAAAGCATCAGCTGTAATCAATCCAAGAACCAGACCATCGCTGCATCATCACAACCTGGACGTGCAGGGGGATTTCATGTCATCAGAATTCAACATGTCTCAGCTCCCAATGGGCCTCAGGCAATGAAATGTAATATCTGTATGTAGATCTACCAGTCAAGCAGATCCATCTTGCCTTGAGTGTAATAGATTTGGAGCAGGATCATTTACATTAGCATCTCATTAGCAGTCAATGATTGTCAGAGATTGACTGAGGAGGGAGATTGTTCAGCAGTGCTGGCCTAAACCGGAGGACCAACAACAAGCACCGCCCTGTTTGCTGTCACTATACGCTTTACATTTCAAAGTAGGACTGCTTATAGATGTGGTCGCACAGCTCAGGGAGTTTTTATTGATCAGTGTGGTGTTGTTTTAGCACACATCTCATACAAAGAGAAGAGATGCTTTTAAGCAGAAGTTACTTTTCATCTGCAAATAAAATGAACATTTTTAAAGACGTGAATAAGAATTTGAAGATGTTTAGACTTTTTCACTGCTGTCTGTTTCAAACACACCAAAAAAATACTGATTGGGAAAATAGTTGGCATATTAATAATCATTAATTGCACTTGCAGCCCTCATTCTTATTTCATTAAGTAGATATTTCTTGATGTTTGTTGTTTTATTTATTTATTTTTTGCTAGTGGAGTGAAAACTATTCCTTTCTTATTTTTTCATGTATTTTATTTTAGTAGCACATTTGCCGCTATGTGTTTGTGTGTGTGGACATTATAACAGGGCTACATTGCCTTACTGGACCACCCCAAAGCCTCATGGGAGGCCTGGCAGTAAAGTGGGTCTGGCTGTTGTTGCAGCTGTGAGGAACACCGGGATAGTAGTCAGAGGTGTTGCACTCTCCGTCAATCTCCGTGTTGATTTCTGACTGTTTATTTTAGCTCCACAGATGAATTCTCCTTCTCCCATTCCTCCAGTCTTTTTCTAACACTAATGCTCGGCCTTTTGTCTTTCAGTTTTGACTTTATATTGTCTGCCTTCTGCATATTAACATGCTCACTCTTTGCTGGTTTCCTGTTCTGTTGAAATTTCCTTAATTATGACTTTAGATTTCAGAATTTTTGTCAAAATCTGTTGAAGCTCTGACAGAATATGTGCCTACAGTACCGCACCTGAGGTCCTAATTTCCCTCTCGCCTTAAATTCTTACTTTCAGCCACAACTTTGCCATTTTCAATAAACTAATCACAGTGATGAACATATATGTAAAGTGTGTTTCCTTGCTACCTCTGAAATATTAGTGGAAATGTTCTTTACTTTGCGTTTTCATTCATTAAAACAAAACACGCGGATAACAACCACAGCAACAGTAGTTAATATCTTTATACAATAATGTAGTGCGCACTCAAATTTGAAATGGGTTCACAGCTTTAGAACCATGAGGCACAGATGATAAAATGCTTGTAATTCATTGACTGGCCTACAGCAGGTAGTGAGGACTATTATCACAGCAGTTGTACATGATGACATGAGTTTCTAACATGAACTCAGTTGTCTTACTGAAATCTGATTGGCTGATTCCTTCTCCTGACTGGCTGGTTGCTCACATGATAAAACCTCTTTAGTTAGCCGTGGAAAGCAGGTCAGTGGACCACCTTTCTCTCTCTGTCTCTCGCCACATTAACTTGTGATTCCCTGGTTTCATGTCCTATTCTATTGTCTTTCTCTCTGTCTACATTTCTTTCTCATGCTGTTTTTCCATCTCTTACACTTCCCTTTTGTCATCACTCTTCTTTCTTTGTTTCTCTCCTTCTTTTAAATCTCCACTTTCCTTTCCTTTGTATCCATCCCCATTACTCATCTCATCTATCTTTCCTTTTCCTTTCACTTTGTTGGGTTCTTTGTATTTTTCTTTTTCTTTCCTTTCTTTTTTTACTCATCTCATCTATCTTTCCTTTTCCTTTCACTTTGTTGGGTTCTTTGTATTTTTCTTTTTCTTTCCTTTCCTTTTCTATTCTTTCATGCCTTCTTATCTTTCTCTTCCCTTCTCTTTTCTTTTTATTCCTTTCCCCTTCTTCCTCGCTACCTCTCTCCTGAGAGTTGCAGTTGTGTAGCACAGTTTGTTGTGCAGATTGCTTCTTGGTGTAGTTAGTTTCAGCTCAATCAACAGATCTGATTTTCCACAGATAATGAGCACACACACATGCGCACACAGTTTTCTGCATGCCAGTTTCACACACCTCTCTTTATTTGCTAACATGTTTACATGTTTCCCTCCTCTTCCAGAAATAGTTTACACTTTAAGTGATGGAGACACGAGCACACCCGACCCACTCTTGTTGGCTGGCTTGCGTTCATACTGTACACACACCCACACATCCCCAGCGCTTGTTGTTGCCACAGTTGGAGCTCTGCAGACGCTGACCCAAATTCTTCACTGTAGTAAATTATGACAGCACCACTACTACAGCTTTTCATACTCCCATGCACACACACAGGCAGACTCTTATCACACACAGACACCTTATACAGTGTTAGAAGCACAGTGTTGTGTAACAGCGTTCTTTCTGTTCCATTAAGCCCAGTGACCCAGACTTCATGAAGTGGGGTGTGGCTGCTCTGACTGCAAACAGACATGCTAATACAAGAGCTGCAGCTTAAATATGATTCAGAAAGATGATGCAATTTATACTGTCAGGCTGAAGTTAATAATTTATCTCTAGTGGTTTTTAATGTTTGTGTAGATGTTATTACTTCATATTCTAGGGTGTAGAAATTTCCCCTTAATGCTGGCTGCTGTGAGGACTGTCAGTGTCCTCTGGGATAATTTAATAAACCGACCTTATAGACCTCCTTTGTACCATTTCCTGGGTGAGAAAGAAATGAGAATCCATCCATTATTATATCATTCAGTGCACCTTTCTGGTGCTTACAACATGTAGATCTCTTATTTTGATACCCCCCTTTTTCCTACTTGAGAGTGTAGTTCATTCTAAGAAGACTTTAATGGTTGGCCTGAGGAAATAGATGATGACGTGGCAGTTGATGGATTATGATCATAACAAAGCTAACAGAAAATGATATTTTGATAGCGATGACTGTCTTGCGTTTATGACCAAGATGCTATAACAGTTTCTTTAAGGATTCCCTTTACGACCCAGGTAATTGCACATGATGCTAGCTGCACTTTAAGTCACAGAGATGTTCAGTTAGAAATTTGTACAATACATAGCAGCTCTTCCTCCTTGCAGGTTGATATCAGAGTAACACCTGGCTCACAATATTTCATGTAAAAATGATTGTTGCACTTATTCTCTGTTCTTCACTGTCTTCAGGATGAGATGGAGGAGTTGAGGTCTGAGATGCTGGAGATGAGGGACATGTACATGGAAGAAGATGTCTACCAGTTGCAGGAGTTACGGCAACAGCTGGAGCAGGTACGTATGTAGGCAGAGAAGACTGGCACCTTTTTTCTTTGTTGTCTTGATCTAATAATTTAAATGTATAAAATGCAAAGAGGCTGCAGGTTTTTTTTTGATACAGGCAAATAAGATAGATACAAATATATTTTGACATACATAAAGTGTGTGACTTAAACAGTCACTGAAGCTTCTGCTCCACTGAACACGCAAAAACATCAGATCCATGAAGAGCGATGCAAAGACTAGCTTTTCTCAAATGGATGCATGAAGCAAACATAAAGGCTGCCATGTTTTCTACATTATTTTTCACCACTTGAGGTTTGACTGGCACTCTTTTAATTGCATCTTGTTGCACCCACTTTTTTCTGCGATGGCTTAATGGCACCTGAGAGGAGAACTAGCGTACACAACTGTTTATCTTGATAAACCAGCTCCTAATATTGGCATAGCAGGAGATGGATGCGTGCATAAATACAATTTTTTAACAGAATTTCTCAAGATTTTGGTAAAATTTGGACTACATTTGATGGAGACCCACCTATTGTTTTATGTTTGTGTGTTGAATGTCTTCTATTATTTTAAGGTAAAATTTTCCTGAAGTTACAAAGATGGCTTAGGCAGACAACAAATAAGATGCTCCACTTCTATTTCTAAGGCAAATAAGACCTGCCGCATCCTGCAGTACCGGCTGCGGAAGGCAGAGCGGCGGTCCCTACGCGTGGCCCAGACAGGGCAGGTGGACGGAGAACTGATTCGAACGCTGGAGCAAGACATCAAAGTAGGTGTTTGTGTGTTAGAATGAGAGTGCTTGAAATGCTAAAGCTGGAATATGTAGACGTTCTGAAGTTGATTAGCTGCAGATTAGTGGCATTTATACAATAGATACAGAATGCTATACATATAACATCAGTCTGGTTGTAAGATGATTTATTGGTGTTAAACTACATAGTCTTTATTGCAAAATGCTCTGAGATCTCATGAAACAAAAATGGCTAACAAAAATAATCAAAAACCCACTGAACTACTTTGCTGGCTGCAGCAAGTTAATCGGCTTCTGGTAAAATCAGTGAACAAAATCAGTTTGTGTGGGATTGTTTAAATACACATATGTGTTCTTAATCTTTATAAGGCCATGTTCAACTAGGCATTTTTTTCTTCACGTTAGTTTTGTGTAGATAAAAATCTCCTGGTATAGAACATTTCAACAGATACATTATATATATATATATATTTAACAGATTATCATCATTTCCATTTTGCTCTAAATCCATTTATTTTTGTACAGTCACAGTTTGCATTCATTTCAAGTTTGTTAAAAATATTGAGTGCATCAGTCCATGAAACATTTTATTGCTCCTATAAGATGACACTATCTAACAGGCTAAGCTTACTTTCTATATTTTAACAAGATTGCAATCTAGTAAATGAAAGTATTCTGAGTAGGGAAGTCACTCTGATGTATTATTAGTGATATGACCAGGATTTAGTCAAAAGTAGCAGGGAAAAAACTGCCCAAGACTTGGTGACCTCCAACATGTCTACCAGATGGTGTGTTTCCTATAGGCTGTGCTTTGTTTTGTTGCCCTATTGCATGTTTATGTTTTCTTGTGACCCATTTTTTTCATACTGTTGAAGTCACAAGACCCTGCTGAGGTCAGGCTTCCTCTAATTTGTTTAAGGAATTTCCCTGTTTAAACAGTATTTGAACTGCTTTTCACAATAACTTACAAACACTGAATGCCACATTAGGCATAGTTTGGCTTTCTATAGTTGTGAAGACACTCATTGATATAGTGGATTCCCTAGCTCCTTACCCACCAGAGCTAAATGCCTAATCCCAACCCTCACAGAAATCTAATTCTGCCTTTTGAAGCATCATTATACACACCAGTCATCTCAGTCTTATCTACAGTCTTTGATCAAGGCCACCTCCTTTACACATAAACACAGAGTTCAGGGTAAAGCTTCTGTGTTTTTTTTTTTTTCGTCACTAGCACTGGACTGTGGATACTCTGTGAAATTCACGGTGTTCCTGTGACATGTTCCATGTGATGGAGGATACAATGAGGCTTTTATACCCTCTAGGAGACAAAGTGTGTGTGTGTGTGTGTGAGAGAGAGAGAGAGAGAGAGACTGTGATGTCACTGTCTTTCTGCCTGCTGTTGCTGTCTGTTTCTTGGCTGCTGTCTCACCATATGGTAGTTTTAGAAGGAAGGAAGGAAGGAGAGAAAAAGTCAATTCTTGTGTCTGAGGGTGTTGCGACTGAAGGGAAAAAGGGGGATTGGTTAGTGTTTGAAAATTCAAATCAGCCAATCAGAAAAGGAAGATGAGCTGGGAAGGAAAAGGGAAATAAAGACTGTAAGAGAGAGACTAACAAAAACCTAAGAAAGAAACACATGCATATGAAGGCAAAACATGGCAGTATTTGAAAAGGACTGATTGTAATAGAGTTGATTTGAATTGAGGTCTGGCTTTAATTTAAATCTTTAACTGGCCACGAGAGCAGTGGGGAAGAGAGGTCAGAGATGACAAAGAAATCGGAAGAAGCTTAAGAAAAAAGTAAAAAGCAATTAAAGTCTGCATGTGTTAGCTGCACTAGCAAAGAGGGGAAACTCAAATGATACACAGCAGGGAGACAAACCTGAGCTCTCTGTGTCTCTCTCAACACTTGGTTTATTGTGTCTTCTTGCAGGCAGAGCCAAAGACTCAGATGCCAGGTCAAGTTACACCATGTTGTGTGTGTGTGTGTGTGTGTGTGTGTGTGTGTGTGTGTGTGTGTGCGTGCGCATTAAGCCAATGCTAAGCTTCTTTTCTGCCAGCCACTCACAGTCACTCCTCTGTTTATTCTGGTAGCTTTATCATTAGCCTTATAAAAAGACACTCACTCCTGCCTGTGTGACTCAACACTGAATCTCCTCAAATGGAAAATCACTTTAAGAGCAGTAAAAAAAAAGTGTTCCTGCTCAATTTAGCATCTGCAAAAACTTTGGACGTACAACAGCAAAACTATATTACAAGAATTCATCAGGTTTTTAGGACACTCTCCAACTGTTAAGTAATTAAAAACAAAATCATCCACCTGTTCACAACATACCATTTGTCGTGGTGCTTAATGCTAGTGCTGCAGCATTTACTGTGTAGCCTCATATGTTTGCAGTCCTAGTTTTCCTACTGCCCGAAGACGCTGATTTCCAGACTTTCCAGAATTACTTTGCAATTTCACGGATTTCTGAGAGACCTCATAAGTCAGTGAAAAACAATGAAGGCGCCTGTTACAAGACGCTTGGATATTTTTGACATAAGATTTATTGCAGAGTTTTCCTCACTGTTGGAAGGTAAAGTGCATCTGTTGGACACGCCCAACGTCTGTTGTACTTTCTGCTTCATTTTGACCTTGACTTGTTGAATTTCTTGGCTATGAGCTACTTTACAAAACTTGATGCTGAGGCCCTGATTTGACTCACTCTACTGTGCAAATGCACACAAATCAGGAAATGTACACACACAGACACATATAAATACACACATATGAAGTTTCTCACACGGTTTTTTCATTTTATTTGTTTATTTTTACTGGGACACATGCAGCTAAACATTGTTACATTCAGTCAACAGATGCAGTGCATATGGGGCATCTAGATAAAAGCTCATTTGTGGCCCCCGCCCCGCCTGTTTTTACATTCTGACTTGCTCTAAGTTAAGTCTTTCATCAAAGTTCATGTGACCCTTACCACTTCTTTAAGGAGAGTACAGGGGCTAGTGGGATTGATCAAGACAGAGCCAGCGAGAGGTGGAGTAAGTTGTGTGTTTGTCACATATGCTGAGACAAAAACATCTCCTTATGTGCATAACATGCTCTTATTTTTATGTTGTTTTATAAATCTTATGGGTCTGGGTTTGCATGTGACTCTGTGAGTGTGTGCTGTGTCCACATTTGTGGGGGTACAGCAGTCAGAATCTCCATGAGAATTTCTAACATCATTTCCTGTCCCACTCACACACTGCTCTCATTCCCACAGGCTACAGACATCTGGGCACACACATGCACACACATGTACAGAGGAAATGATTGTAAGAATTCTCATGATGTCAACATTTCTGTGTTGGCCTTAAGGAGCCGATACATACACTTACTGTATATACATATATACACACTTATTATTCATTTTTTTACCTCTATTTATTCAGTGTAGGTCCACTGCGAGGCAACCTCTTTTTTTTCAGGGACACCCCGCATTCACACAGTTACACGTTCACATTTGGAAGCTGCCCAGTACAACCACTGACTGACGTCTGGCCACTGAGCAGCTCCACTGGAACAGTTGGGATTGGTGGCCTTGCTCACCACAGTGGTGTTAATGAGGGTGGGGCAAGCATCGCTTTGCCACCTGACCAGATTTAATGAAGCATGATAAATGATTTTTAAAAGACCCTTGACTATATATTGGGAGAACTGAATCCTTTAAAAGAAAACTCCAACATTTTAAAAATATGCATATTTGCTGTTTTCTCAGGTGCTAATCTAGGGGAGAAGATAGATATCAGTTTCGTCTGTGTGCCTTCACTACAGAGGGTGGTCCAAGAGTTGTTTAGTATACATTAGCACAGGCTACAAACAGTGTGGAATTTGGGAGTCAACCAAGCAGCAGCCTCCGAGGCTGAGAAATGAAGTGTCTGGAAGTGCCAAATCCTGCAGTTCCAGGCTGGCTCCAAAACGTTACAGCTAATTTCCTCTTCCATGACAACTGGACAGGGTTGAATTTTTTAAATAACTTGCCTGTTTAAATTACATTAAGACTAAACGTTATGCATAATTAATGGTGTGTCTGCTGTGAGTGACAGGTGAGAGGGTACTGCCATAGGTGGCTGGCGGCTAACTGTCTAGAGAGCTCTACTCATGCTCTGACTATTTGCCCACTTTTGGATTAGACATAGGCAGAGTGAAGCACTACCAAGATGACTTCGGAAACTGCTCTTTAGAAAACCAGTGAGTAACATCTCCAGCTTTTATATACAGTCTGGAGATTGTGGCTGCTGGTTGTCCAAATAAAGAGAGACCACTGACAGCATTCACTGTAGACCAGGGAAGCTTTACAGTGTACAGTTATACAGTATTTATGTTACATATGGAACTTGTATGCAGGCTCTGCTATTGGTACTGTGGATACATTGAACATGTACAATATAAAGTAAATCTATTTAAGAGCAGGCTCAACATTTCTCTCTAAATTGTTTTAACATTTCTAATTCTCATTTCTACTTCTGTTCTTCCAGTTCCTTTTCCTTCCCACTTTTTTCTTCTACTTCAGTTCAGCTTTTCACAGTCCTACTTCCTACATGTATCATACCGCCTGAGCACTATACTCCCATCAGCTGTTGCTGTTTCAGTGTAGTGTGTGTGAGTGCTTCCTATACTGTAGACCTCATAATGTGCTTCATGACATGCTAAAGTCATCCATACTCTCTTTGTCCCTGACACATGACAATACTTGTGACAAACATCTAAACTTAGTCTTAACCATTATACTACGTATCTAACCTAATTATCTTAAGATCAAAGTGTTGATAGTCACGAAGCCTTTGAAGAAAACATAAGGATCATCAGGCCAAAAATGTCTTCTCTCTCAAAGTTTTAAACCCTAATGGGTCCTCACAAATATATGAGCACAAGCACACACAAAGTCATTTGATAAGAGCTGGGAAGCAGCAGTATCCGGTGCTTTTATCTGAACAGGGCCATCTCCCTGCCTCATCTCTATATGTTACTGTGTGTGTGGGTGGGTGGATGTGTGTCTGTGCGTGTGTGTGTGAGAGAGAGAATTGGATGCAAGTTGGTTGTGGTGTAAGGTCCTGCTAAGTGTTCCTCTTAAAATCTCTCTCTCTCTCTCTTTGTCTGTCTCATACACACTCATATCCTCACCCCTCTTGCACCATGTGTCATGCACACTATAGGAAGTAGTGTTTCCTTGTAAGAGTCCCCACTGACTGTAAGAACTGAGGTTTCCACTTGTCTGTGTGTGTCATGTTGATGATGCATCTACTCTGTCAGCTCTATTAAAGGGTTAACTACTGTTACATTTTCTGCTGCTGTTTTACAGCACTTCATTCACTAGACCTAGTTAGCTCCAGTTTTAGCTATAGCACTAAAGTAGAAATGAAATGTACTGTAATTAAAATGTTATTTGAGCTAACATCAGATTCAAACAAGGTTGTTTCTGGAAATATTAGCTTTAATTAAAGTGTAAATTTGTACTATAACAGGTCCGTTTTCAGTAATCATAAACTAAAAATACAATATTTTAAAATACATTTTAAAAGAAAAATACTGCATTGTATAAACTTAACATAAAAAAAACCTTTTTTCCATTTACATTTCTCAGAGATGGAAGTGAGGGGGAAAACTACATGTAGTTTTTTAAAAAATAATAATTTCTCTTTGATTTGATCAACTTCCTAAAGTACACACGTGCATTTTTACTTTTTTGTGATGACTATCCCCAGATATGTTTATGTCTTATCCCATTAACTGAAACCTAAGGCTGACCTTCTTAGGACAACAGCCCTTTTAGGAGTCTGACAAAATGTCCACATTTTGTAAGTTCAAAACTCAGTTTCATCCTCACAAAGATAAGCACACACACACAGACACACACACATACAGACACAGCTACTGTGTTTTCCTGATGCCATCTCTGCAACGACTTCTCTCCCAGAAGATTTTATCAGAGAGATTTTACATGCAGCTAGTAAAGTTTGTATGTGTGTGTGTGTGTGTATGTGTGTGTGTAGCCAAAGTGCTTGTGAACAGGAGGAACAAGACCCTGGTTGTTGAATCAAACACACAACCACACACAGTGTACACAAAAAAGATCTTTTTGATGAATAACTGCCACTTGGTTAATGATATTACTGTTTACCCTGTGGCATGTGTGTGTGTGTGTGTGTGTGTGTGTGTGTGTGTAAAGGGACGAACAAACCCCCACTCTCTTTGCTTCTGTTGGTTTGATGTTTCACTTGCTCCTGATTCTATACTCCCTCTGTCACACACATGCACTCTCTTTAACACATGCAGTACACACACACAATTGTACTCTCTCTCCCAGCCCAACATCACCCCATCAGAATGCTAATTACATCCTACAGCTCTGTTGCTGGGTGAAACCACAGCTTCAATGGTGTTAGACTCCTTCAGTTTTCCTGAGGAACAGCAGCAGAAATCAAAGTTTGACAAAATAGTGTTGAAGAGGAATTTGGTATAGAATTGAGGAGAGGAGAAGGAGATAAAGGGGGAGAAACACAAGCCCTTAAACCTGCACGGTTACTAATAAAAGCAGTTTTTGATATCAATGCAACAGTCAAAATTAAACATAGTGTTAATCAATTACTGTTTCTGTCCAGTTCAGTCCAAATAACGATCTGGGTGTGTTCATTTATATATACCTCGCAACGCTGTGGAAAATAGAAGATAGAGGGAGAAAGAACAGTGGTGGAAGAAATACTCAGATAGTTTACTTAGGTAAAAGTAGCAATACCACAGTGAGAACTACTGTATTACAAGTAAAGGTCCTGCATTCAAAATGTTATATAAGTAAAAGTAAAAAGGTTCTTGCATAAAATATACTTAAAGTATAAAGTACTCATTATGCAATGTGGCATTGTTTACTTTGATGTACATCATATTCAATTAAAATGATTGATGTATTCATGTGTACACATTTTTAATATTGCAGCTGGTAAAGGTAGAGCAATTTCTAACTACCTTATATGCTTATAATGTGTAGCTTGTGAATTTTACACCAATGCTCAATAAATATTGTGCTTATACTGTTGTATTAACCTTTTTCTGAAAAGTAACTAGTTAAAGTGATCAAATAAATTTAGTGATTACAAAGTATAGTATTTATAAATTTTTTTAAAATGTAGTGAAGTTTGAATTAGCAGAAAATTAAGACACTCAAGTAAAGTATAGATATCTGAAAGCTGTACCTATGTTCACTAAATATACTTAGTTACTTTTCACATGGGGCACTGTAACAGAAACAAGAGACAAAACTGAAGTCCAGGAGTTGTATACACATACACGTACAGAGTCGCGTCTTTCTATAGATGTTGTAACAAGTTGTAAATGTATTAATTATACTTATGCACAATCAGATAAATTCACCCTTTCATGCGATGATTAGACCACATGTGTTTAGTTGTCAGATTTCCCTTCACACTGTAAATAAAAGATATACTCTGTAATACTTTCATAGAAAAACCAATAAGAAACATAAAAGAAACAATTTGTGTTTTGTTGCGGCACCACATGGTTAAAGTTATTTCTGCATCATATTGTTACCACTTCATAATGAGCTTTGGATGGACCAGACTTGAATCTGGTTTCCATGTAGTCAGATGTAGTGAAATGAGGCTACATTAAGATGCGGTTGTGTCACTGCTTTATGTTTGTTTACATCCTTTTTGAAATGCAACCAAATTTGAAGACAAAAAACTATTTCTTTAGTTACACCATATGATTATAAATGATAAATGACACAGACGCTCACTGACTGTTAACATGACAGCAAAATCTATCAACAAAAAACTCATCAGATACCAAAGAGCTTTACCCACTAGATTAAATCAGGATTGAGGTTAATGGGGTCTAAGTACATTTATGAGGGACTGAGTGATTGATTTAATTTGCTAAAACTGGATATATCCATTTACTCTGCTCCTTGATTCATTTCATCAGATATGATACAACCTTTTAGAATAAAATTCCTCCGATTTAGTTTCAATTAAGCCAATCAGTTGAGAAGTTTGAAGTTAAAATGTATATTTATTAAGTATATGACCTCTTTTATCTGCACTTTTTCTTTTATCTGTGTAAATCGACTCTTACCACCATTTCCAATGCAGTGTACAACATTTTTTGTACTGTACTTGCCTCCTAATACATTCTGATTTTGAATATGCATAAAATATAACTGCATGAGTCTGCTCCCTCTGAGTCTGGAGTTACAATGACTCTTACCACCATTTCCGATGCAGTGTTTTACATTTGTTGTACTGTACTTGCCTCCAAATACATTCTGATTTTGAATATTCAGAAAATATAACTGCATGAATCTGCTCCCTCTGAGTCTGGAGTTACAAATGGGTTGTGTTTTTTTTACTGCTGCATTTTGCTGTAGTTTTCATATCAAGCACCACAGAGTTGATTTTAGTTTGATTCTCTGACATTAGAAACATTCAATGAATAAATTCCCTTAGGGCGAAACAAAAGATAATGTTTGTAAGATCGTGTTAGTTTTATCATTTAAAAGCATGCATTAAATCTTAATGAACCAGCATCATTCATAAAAAGTACTGATTTGCATCTAACCTTCTGTTAGTTTAAGCCTATGTTCAGTGTCAGCAGAGGATCCTAATGTAGCAGTTTGAACTGCAGAGAAACTACTGCTTGCCTTATTCAGGTAAATGCTACCGACCACTATCCTTAACATTCAAGAATCATCAAAAACAACATAACAAAATGAGCGAGTGTCTTACCAATATCAGTTCATGTAGTTCCTGATGTTCTGGGAAACATTAACAGATCTAAACTATGCACCACATTAAATATCAGTTTAAACAGTGTTTTCCCTGGTGGCGAACTGACACCTAACAAACCTCTATTCCTTCCTCTTTACCTTCTTAGGTGGCGAAGGACGTGTCCATCCGTCTTCACAGCCAGCTGGACAGCGTGGAGAAGAAGAGGAGTCGCCTGGAGCAGGAGAACGAGGAGCTGAGGGTTCAACTGCAGGACCTGGAGGTTGCCAAACAGGTTCTGCAGCAGGAGATTGACAAGGTAGGGTGAAAATACTCAAACTATGCAGCTAGGCCAGGAGAGGCCAATGTGCTTTCAGCAAGGCTTACTAAATGGGATAAATGCTGTCTGTTAGCATATGTTCTGAATAATATGGCCAATATCTGCCAGTTGGTACAGCTTTTTATTTTGTGAGATTTCTGTATCAGTATGAAACGGTAGCACCTAAGCCATAAATGACTTATACTTGTGTCTTCTTACCCACCGAGGTTGTCCACTGCTGTGCTGTTTGGTAAACCTTTCTTGATGAAGTAGATTACTAGGACAAGTAGAGTTTATAGTGTTTTTCTGGGTTTGGCACTAACTGGAAATTTCAGCTAAACATTGAGGTTCAGATAGATCCTTATTTAGCCTGTCGTCCTTTTGGCCCTTTGAAGAAAACACTGTTTACTGTGCTCAGATTGCCTGGGAGGCTCAGGAGAGCTTGTCGCTCTTCTCATGTTGACTCAGTTTCTGCCATTCTGCTCCCACTCCAGGACTTTTTTGTTATACCGAGTGTGTCCAACAAATCACTGCTATCAAAAGGAAGACTAAAATTTGAGGTCAGGGGCAGCTGATGTGAAAAGACACAAAAATAGAGTTGGCAGTGTAGCGTTGTACTCCTTTTGAAAGGGAAATGAATGAAATAAGACTGACCTCTCAGCTGTATCCCAAAGGCCTGTGTGGAAACCAGAAAATGATGACCCATCTTTCCATCATTCCCTTTGTCTCGCTCTTGCTTCTGCTTATTGTGTCCTTTCCCAGTCTCTGACGGTCTGATGGTCATGGTCTTGATGTGGGTTGAGGATGGATGGATGGATGGCTGGGTCACTGGCAGGGAGATCTGGGTCTGTCTGCTCTGTCTGTCTGGCTGGGCTATGTGTTCCTTCATTGCAATTGCCAGTTTGCTGTTTGTGGGTGGCTGGGAAGGACGCTCACTATTCCCCCTTGCTGACCATACAGAAGTAGATAGGCAGTTGATTTACCAAATGCAGGGTGTGGCCTATTGGTGCTGTGTCCACAGTAATGTATGATGTCATCTCTTGGGCACTGGATAGCAACCAAAAGCAAGCGATTGCAGATACTAGCAGACTTCCTTCTCTAACCATGTGTTGATAGTCCTATCTCATGCTCATCACAAACAATCCTATTTTGTTGGTAGTTTAAGTGTTTAATACAATGTAAATCCCCATTTCATAAAAGCACTAGAGTCTCCTGGCTAATTTAACAGCACTATTGATGTATGTTATGTTATATCAGTCAGCACTGATATTTCATCTTTGTTTCTGTGAAATGATCTTGATAAATGGTGTTATATTTGTATAGCATTTTTCTTATGCACACAGGCTTGCCTGACTTTTTATCAAATAACCAGATATTTTCTAACATGGTTGCTGATTTGTTGTATTGATGATTCAGTGTCAATCAAAGCCAATCACTCCAACTGCCAGTATTTTCTATGCAAAACAAACAAACAAGAGAACATCAACAACACATTAACTTGCATAACCCTGGATGCCTAAAATAACTCTCAAAATATTTCCCAGCTTTCACTAATCAAAGAAGAAATCAGATGTATTGAAATAAAAATAAAAAAACTCAGTTTTCCTCAGAAATGTACAAACTGGAAAACAGTGCTAGTACCTTGTGTGAACTGTACAGATTGATTTCCACCTGAACATCAGTCAGTTAACTGACCAGATGGCTGCCATGCTGAGGGGTTCTCTGCCAATGTGTTGAGTTATGCTAACCCTGCAGAGAAGGGAATTCATCACATAACTGATATGATTCAACTGTGTGCTGTGTGTGTACTCATCCACAGGAATGTCTCTTTGCCTCACCTTTGATTATACACCATAAACAGGAGAATTCAAGCTAAAGTTGAGATGAGAAAAACAGGAAGGAGGACATGAAAGAAGATATAATGCTAAAACTGTGTGTGAGTGTAAAGCAGATAAAGGAGGTGCTTAACCACAGAGGAGTAAACACAGCTTTCAGCCTGAACTGATATCGATATTCTTGAAGAAACTGAGCTCTGTGGTGAACTGGGTAGACCCTTATTGTTCTGCTGCAGGCCATATATTTTACTGACAATTGGAGAGGCATTAGTTTCTGCAATGCTTTGTACCAAGGACTGTATAAAATATGGACGCATGACAGCTCCCAGAAGTGAAGCCGTCGTGATGTGATCGCCCCCTGGTGGCTGGCTGCAGTATATGTCCTAAATCCCGCCCCCATCATGTTAGCAGATGGGACATGAGCCAAGCTAAAAACTCAAAGTACAAATCAGATAAAATTTTCCCAGAGGTGGTTTCTGTGGCTTTTGGCAGATATTGTCACATTGATGTGTGTGTGTGGTAATTTTTCTGGTAAACTTGTTTTTAATAAATTATTTGATTATATAAAAAGCGGGTGTATTTCGGTTGATTTGACAGTTTTGATTGACTGGTGGTCTGATGCTGTCACTTCTGGTCGCTACTGTGCAGAATCTGTTGATTTTGATTTTACTTATTTAGTGTACTTCTAGGGTGCTTGTTATGTTGACCAGTAAAAGAGAACAGTATTGTACATCAGTTTTGCTATGTAAGATATGAAAACTTTAAAATTTAATATCTCAAAACCACTCAGAATATACATAGAACCTTATAATTCCAAGGTCACGTTATAGGGGGATGTTCCCTCTTCTTAATTTTCTCTGTCCAATTCTCCTTTTCTTCCATTTTTCCCTCAGTGACCAACACCACCTCCTGCTTCTCCATCCCTTGTTCCAGTTTGTCCTCCATTTTTATTTTCACCTTTCTCCCCCTCTCACTTCTCTCCTGCTCCCACAGAGGTTCAGAGGAATGCTGATACAGGGATTTCTCTATCCTGTCTCCCTTCATTATCTTTTTGTTGTCTGGCCTCCTCCTCCTTCTGTCCTCCCCTTCTCAATGCCCTCTCCCTCCTTCATACCAAAGCCTTTACTCCCTCTCTTATACCTTTCAATTTCTATTCTTACCCCTCCTCTCACCTCTCATTCTTCTCCTCTGCTTCCCTCTCTGGAACCATCTATCCATTCCAGCTGTTTGACCTCTGAAACAGACAAGGTCAGATTTGATAGAGGGAGGCAGGAATGGGTTTGGTACAGAAGGAGGTGGGAGAGAAAGAGTTTCTGTGTGAGGCTTGTGGAAATTGAGGGAAGGATGGGCAGGGTTTGTATTTTCCAGGTGTATTTTCTTCTCAAGGGGAGGAAGCTCAACTGGAGGAAAGGATTGACTTGGGGGATAATGGAGCTGGAGGCTGAGGTCACTTGAATTCCATCAGACTGTTAAACCAACAAAGCAGACACACCAAGCATGTTCTTTGCTTTCTTTTACTTTCTACAGTCAAAAGAGTAAACTGGATTCTGAATCTGTATTTGTTTCCCTGCAGCTCTTGCTTCCATTTCTGCTTTCCAGTCCCTCCCTTGTGGTTCTGTGATTCATGATGTATAATAACAATACCAGCCACAATGTATGTGTCTCCTTTTCGTTCAGGTTTGTGTCCCTTCGCATTGTAAATGAATATGTGGCGGCTAGACAGGAGTGGTGGAGCAAAGAGGAGAACAATGTGGGTCGGGCAACACTAGACACATGACTATGAGCAGAATAAGTGAAGCACTGTTGCAGTGGTTAGCCTGGGCCAACCCAGGGCCTTTCTGTGTGGAGACTGCATGTTCTCCCTGTGCCTGCATGGGTTCTCTCCATGTACTCTGGCCTCATCCCACAGACATGCAGTTTAGGTTAATTGCCTATAGGAGTGAGTGTGAGTGTGTGTGGTTGTTTGTCTTCATGTCAGGGCTGTGATAGACTGGTGACCTGTCCAGGGTGGACCCCGCTTCTTGCCCAATGTCAGCTGGGATAGGCTCCTGTCCCCCCGTGACCCTCATTAGGGTAAGCAGTATAGATAATGGGCGGATGGATAAATGAAGTACTTTAACCTGGTAAGGATGGATGGGTGGAGGGATAGATGGAACTAGATTCAATGTGTTCATCTATTAACCATCAGCTGATGTATCATTTCTGTTTTTGATCACTCTGCGCGTCAAGTGATGCAGAAGACTTGACAACACACACGTGAGTGTATTGTTTATACTTATATTCAATATTTTTGTGTTTTTTTATATTATATTTATTTTCTTTTTAATTGTTCCTCCCATATTGGTGTCTTTTGCCATTTTCAAGTTCTAGAAAACCTAATTTTCATTCACCTTCTTACTATGTAAGTCCTATGTAAGCACACTATTTTGTTTTTGTCTGATGACAAAGCACAGAGTTTATTATACAATGTTGGCAAAGACATGTCATTTTTGGCAAAATAATTTATAATATAGTAAGCAGTGTTTTTCATGAATTCGCAGCCCTATATTAACTCCCATTACTTTTCCTCACACCACCATTGTCCTCTTGCTAAACAAAACATATTACAGCTTCAGTTTTAGATAGTCACAAAAAATTCATTATATGTTGTTGCTGTGCTGCCAGCGTGAACCCTGGTGGTCCTTTGTTCACAGACTGCAGTAGAGGTTGACCAAAACAAGCTTTTATTACAGCTGTGGCCACTGCCTTACGGTGACTAAGCACAAAGGAGTAATAGAGAGTTGGTGATGTAGGCAGATGGAGAGAGGTAAAAAGGAGGAACACAAAGAGAGATGGTTGGTTGAACCTGAATAATTCCAGAGACAAAGACACAAGAGGCAAACAGAGAAATTAAGCGAAGAACAAATACAGTGTGGAACTGAGGGAAAGCGAGAAAGAAGACTGAACCATGTGGTGTCTGGGTAGGAGGGCTGGCATAAAAGGAGACAACAGCCGCAACTGGAAAAAAGCCTTAGGGTCACGGAAAAATGCAGCATTTTATTCACTGATTCTCTTTTACAAACTGTCTTTCACTGTACATTTCCTTTTCTTCTCTTTCTGTGACAGTTCTTTCACAGTCTCTTCATTGTTTCTCCCATAGGTTCTGTTCCCTCTCTTCTTCTCTCT